TAGAGTTTTTGGATTCTGACTTGTGCTTCGGTCTATAAATGACCATGGAAATCTAGAAAGACACCTAAGGCAGACTATTAACAGATTCCAGCTTGTAATCATCCACCTGTTTCTTCATCATTCACTCTGCTAATTATTTCTTCTTAGAGTGGAAAAAATTATGTGTAAACTTGTGTCATAAGAACATAGCTGTCAAGTCTCCCGTTTTGGCCGGGAAACTACCGTATTTTACCCCTCTTTCCCGCCATCCTCCCGTATTAGCTATTTTCCCGTAAATCTCCCGTATTATAATATAATTTAAAAAAAATTCCTCTGCCTCTCCAAACTGAACTGTCAGTAGCCTCGCGAGAACTGCCACCTGCAGTAGCCTGCAGGTCATTTACAACATTAACCAGGTCATACATGCGTAGGTTAAAATAGCAATGCTGTGTGCCAAAAACAACGTTACTTTCACCTTCTGTGATGACTTCAACAAGGATACAAAGTCTGCAACAAATCTGTATAATAAGTCATTAGTGAATGCCAGAGTGCCACATGAGTGAGCATGAGAAATTAAAAGAAAATGTGTAATGAAAAAAAAAAAATGTAAATGACAAGTGGTGATTAGCTTTCTTGTCACCTGTCTTAAAATGTAAGGGATACTGGAGCTTGGTTGGGGTGGTGGGATGGCTCGCGGTGGGTGCCGGAAAATTTCCCTTATTTTCAAATCCAAAACTTGACAGGTATGCATAAGAACATAAGAAATTTACAAACGAGAGGAAGCCATTCGGCCCTTCAAGCTCGTTTGGGGAGAACTTAATAGCTGAGTTGTTAAAATCTTATCTAGCTCTGATTTAAAGGAACCCAGGGTTTTAGCTTTCGCTACACTAGCAGGAAGACTATTTCAGTAAGACTACACACTGTGTAAAGAAGTGCTTCCTCAAATTTGTTTTGAAATGTTCTGCGTTTAAAGTGTCTGAACATCACTGAAAGGGAGATAAAGATGTGAGGCCGAGAACAGCTCTGACCTCACTTTGGAAAGACTGAGTGTTGGTTTGTTGCCTTTCCAGGGTCACCATCCCCTGACCATTGTGCTGTAATGATGTCACCCTTTGACCGAGGGGATTTTTGGCTTGTTTTTTTTTTGTTGCTCAGCCAGGTGGCCCACAAAGCCTCTGGTTTTGTGCGGCGTGGATCATTTGGTCAAAGTGAGAGTCTAATGAACTGCTTTTAATACCAGCTCATTTTTGCATCTGAATCCTCATGCAATCAGGACTCAGAGGAGAATCACATGGCGACCTCATGCCTCCAAGGCTGTAGGTCTGAAAACGTTGTGTGTGTCGAGTTTTCATGGTATCCTCATGTCATGTGGGTTCTACTCCTGTAGTTAGGGTAATTGCTGTCTCTAAATTTCCCAGTGTATTTGTCCAGGGCATGGGTGGGGAACCTATTCCATGGGGGGCCGGTGTGGGTGTGGGTTTTTGGCATGACCTTCCAATAAGCCAATTACAGTGGGTCTCCTGGATGGAGTTCAGAATCACTGCTTTATTATTGGCTGATCCGAGAGGTCATCCCAAAAACCTGGATCAAGTTCCCCACCTCTGGTCCAGGATGTGCCCAGCTTTGTTTCCATGCTGCTTGGGATAGGCTCCACCCCCCTGTTCAAGTTAAATGGTTCGAAGGTGGTTGGATGAAATTAAAGCAGTCTGGATTAATTGTAAACTTTTGTTTGATTCATACATACACCTGTGATGCAACTCAGACACATCATCAGTGATGTATCCTGGGGTCATTGGGTGTTTCGGGTCTCAGAACATCATACACCCTCGCCCAGGCGACCCAGCCAGGGTTGGTCAGGCCCTGGCTTGTGTCTGAGCAGCCTGCATAGTCCACGGATCACCCTGCTTGATCCACAGCCACCTTGATGCTCTTTCGACAGCGTCTGAGATGTTCTTGACAGCTTTCCTCATGTGCAGTCCCTTCACCCCGAGCATCTTAAGGGCCCTTCCACAGGTCTGTCAACGAGATCTTCTGGTCTGCTTCCTGCTCCCAACGGGTCCATGCCCCCTGCTGCTGCATCCCAACTATCCTGCTACAGCGGGCTTCCTCCACCACTGCATGGACTTCGTCCTGGATCAGCTGCCGCCTTTCCTTGCCCTTGGTCTTGTTAAAGCGAGGTCTTGGATTGCTCCTAAGTCCTGCCCGTCCCGATGCTACTGCCCCCACTAACTCACCATGTCGCAGCCGTGATTCAGCCTGGTCAACTGCCTCTTGGGCCTTCCACTTCCTGCCGGTTCTGACCTCTATGCCCGCCGAGGAGACCTTGATGTCACGGGAGTTTCTGTACAGCAGCACCTCTCCTGCTCAGGTTACCATAAACTCCTCCTTCATACTACTGAAGGGTAGTTTTAGCTTGTTCTTCTTCCCGTGTAAAGCAATGTCACTGAGGCTACGTGGCAGGCCTAGCCACTTCCGCAGGGCACAGCTGATTTTCTTCTCCAAGCACTTCACGGTAGTAATCGGCACATTATAGACCAGCAGTGGACAGAGCAGTCGGGGCACGATGCCATGTTGATAAATCCAGGCTTTAAACTTGCCAGGCAGACCTGTCTTGTCCACCGCTGTCAGCCAGGTCCCCAACTGGTCAGTGGTTTCCTGGAGTGCTGTGGTGTCCTTCAGGGTGCAGCCATAGATCTTACCCAGACTCTTGACTGGCTTCTTTCCAACAGATGGAATCTGAGTGCCTCCTAGTGAGAACCGGAACTGGTCTGTAACCTTCCCTTTTTTTACCACCAGGCACCTGTACTTAGCTGGCTTGAAGTCCATCCAGGCCCAGTTGATAAGATGCTCGAGCCCTTGGAGGATCCATCTGCACCCCGGAACCGATGTTGTAGTCACTGTCAGATCATCCATGAATGCTCTGATGGGGGGCTGGCGTGTGCCTGATTTAGTGAGTGGGCCTCTACCCTGCACCTCTGCCGACTTCACCAGCATGTTCATGGCCAAGGCAAACAATATCACGGAGATGGTGCATCCAGTGATAATTCCCTTCTCCAGTCGATGGAACACAGATGTTTCCTCTCCATGTTTCAGTTTAATAGTAGGGATTAACTACTATTATTAACTACTACTATTCAGTTACTATTCAGCATAAAATTCCTGATGTTTAGTATTACCGTTTCAATTTTTAATTAGCAATAAAACCACAGCAGACTACCATGCTTTGAAAAACTCACATTAAATACTGTCCGGCATCAACCAAAGCAAGCAACAGAATGCCAGACGCAGGACCTCAGGTGCATCGTGCAACATGGGAATGTTGAGTGTCAGTGAAAACATGGCAGAAGGCAGTGACAGTTGGCAGTGACAGGACTGTGGAGATTTTTACTGTTAATGCGCATTTGATATGGTTTTCATGTGTTTGCATAAGGTATTGGCTGTTATTACAGTATTTTAATGCAAACAAGAAAATGCATAGTGTTGGTAATTTTATTTATGGTTTTCAATATAAAACCTGGTGAAATTATTTCAATTTGTGTGTCAGCACTTTTTGAACATTTTCAGCAAACTTTAATAATACCATGATAATACTGATAATTGTTATATTAAAGTTTCATATAATGTCATCTCTAGTAGGGATGTACCAAATGCATTTTCCGTCTGATCCCATTTACCAAATTTTTTTTTTATGATTATGTTTTTTAAAGTTGGACCTGTCAATAGTAATACTGCTGGATTCTGATTTAGCAGTACTTTTAAATACTTTTTAAATTAACATAGCTTTCTGGAAACAAAATGTTTTAAATAACATTTTCAAAGAAAAATGACTCTACAAGTGTCAAAATTACTGGTTGTTCCAAATGTTTCCGGGAAGTTCCTCCACATCTTACACACTGCAAATTTAACATCTTTGTCCCACACTGTGAAGAAGCTCTGAATATCAGGCATGCTTACCATAACTGTTTTACCGTGCCTATTACACAACATCAGTGGGGAGGGAAGGTGGTGAAACACTGCTTGTGGATGGAAACTGAGCTGGGAGTAGGGGTGGGTAATATGGCCAAAACGTCATATCATTGTAGTATTTTTTTATTTTTAGATAGATCATGATTTTTTTTTTTGAATGTATGCAGTAATGTTAATTAAACATTTAACCACTTAGCCAGAAAATGTATCCTTCTGTAGGGTCAGTGTCTGTTCATCGTCTGGCCTGCAGCTCCCGCTGGCCTTCCTGTTTGGTGTTCCTCTAGTGTGGTTCCCAGCTCCTGGGGCTACCATATAACTCAATCAGTTGAGTGCTGAAATTCCTCTTGTCATGAGGCCTGATTCCCCTTTGTGTTATTGTTTTGGTTTTATTTTATCCCCTAGTGTCTGTATAGTTATGTCTTATTTATGGCTACCTTGCCTGTGCCTTGTTTATGTTCTGTTTTTACTTCTGATTTCTTTTAGTGTTGATAGCCTTCCGTATTTGTTTCTTAGTCACTAGAGTCTGTTAATTGAGATTTACTCCATCTGTCCCTTGTTGCCCTGTGCCCTTAGTGATTGGTTAATTTGGTTATGGTTGTCACCTGTCCTGCATCATGTCTTGTTAGCAGTGTATTTCAGTGCCTGTTTTTGTTCTGTTCTTGAGTGGTTCATTGTGGCTGTTTCCCTGTGTTATTCTGTGCTTCTTAGTTATAGTTCCTTGTGTTCATACCTACCCTTGGCATTGTTGTTCCCGGTGTTGCTTCTTGCCTTAGTTTGTTTTGACCCCTTGTGGTCCGGTTGTTTTCTCTTTCTCCCTTGATGTGCTGTTTATTAATTAAGCCAGAGCTGCTCTGTGTATCATCTGGCATGTCCCGCCCAAACACCTTACGAGAAACACTGCTTGTAGAATTATAACTTAATTCCATATGAAAGACTCATTTTAGCAAAAGTACTTTGTAGTTTTTTTTTATATTAAAGTTTCTGTAGGTATTGTATGTGCATATATGATCACGTTTTCCTTTGATATTGATATTACAGGAGACAGTAGCCATATAGATTCTAAATTTGGCCTTTTTATTATTTCTGTCATTGTCTGGTTCATTGAGCTCACCACATCAACAGCAGCAGTCATTCTCCAGTTTTTTCTGCACACAAAGTAAATGGTAAATGGACTACATTTATATAGTGCTTTTCTACTCCTACGAGTACTCAAAGCGCTTTACAATACATGCCTCACATTCACCCATCCACACTTGCATTCATACACCGGTGGCAAAGGCTGCCATTCAAGGCGCCAACCTGCACACCGGGAGCAATTTGGGGTTCAGTGTCTTGCTCAAGGACACTTTGATGGGTGCGAGGAACCAGGGCTCAAACCCTCAACCCTCTGGTCGCATTTAACATTCTGAAAAAAAACTTTTTTTCCCCCTCCTCTTGTTTGTACCCCTGATTTGAATTACCAATTTAGGGTAATTCCTGAGTGGAATGGGGCAGTTTCCTAAGTCCGCACACATAATGTTTCTATGATAAGTGGGATTGGACCTGTACGATGTGTATTTCGGTTTACGCACCTAACTTTTATGCATTTGACTTTTATTGTTCATATGAACATCACATTTTCGTAGGAACGTTTCTTCTTCCGCAAAAATGTACGAACATTTTTTATAAATGAAGTCTCAGGTCTCTAAAATAACTCCTAAAGTCCATATTTAGGAACATGACGAAATAATTTTAAAATATATATTTTTTTGCTTGTAGGCAGCAGAATTTCCCCAGTTGGTGTGAAGAATGTATGACCCAGTTTTTATTTTTAACATCTGGAGCACTTTTGAAGCATTTGATGCTAAAGCTGCTGTAAATCGTTTTCCTCTCTTGCTAAGTGGGTAGCGTTTGCAGTCCAGGTTCTATTTGAAGACCTCCCTGCTGGTTTGAATGCAGCCAGGTACCATCCTCCTTCAATTGCAAGCGGTGGAGGATGAAAAGTCCCCTGCCCGGCGGTGCAGCCCCAGTGGCCCAGATAACAGTCAGATGTCCAGATATCCTGTAGGCTCCTTTAACACGGAGGCAGATAAAGGACACGGCAACTACTCATGATTTCCACAGCACGCTCCACAGAGGCTTTGAGTCTAGATGTGCTGGAAATGTCACAACTGAAGCTGTCAGAGACACACAGTGCTCTGCTACTTTTCCGATGTTCTTAGGAATGGAAAAAAAAACTTTAGTAACATTTTTAAACTTTGTCTGCATACCTATACACATACACACATACCTTACATACACACACATATATATTTTACATACATATACACACAGAGTCTGATTTATGGGAAATTAAGTAATTTTTCCACATAAAATGCTTTAAAAAATTTCATCTCATGTTATTGCATATATTCTTTAAAGTTATAACTTAGCTGACGACACCATGAGTCTTTTAGTGACAGGATCAGCACAAGAAAATTCCAAGAAACAGGGCTGCATGTATTGTGTGTTGTGACACGTTACTCCCACATTCATCTTCAAAATTATCTGCCATTTGTGCCACAGCAGCCCTTCTGTTTGGTTTGCATCGAACAAGATGGAATAGTGTTTGTTCACATCCTGCTTTGATGTGTCTTGGCTGCCCGGCAGCAGCTCATTGTTTTTTCCCCTCCTCTGATCACTCTCAGTAGGCCAGGGCTGCTCAACTCTGCTCCTAGATATCTACCACCCTGTAGAGCTTAGGTACAGCACTTCAGAAGCATCTCCGTACTACAGCCAGCTATGTTGAAGATTAATATAGCAATACTTTCATCGATATATTGTACATGCAAAGGTGTGTCCTTTGCTGTCTGCAGTGTGCTGCTGTTTCCATCACCTCCCCTCAAGACCCCAAGACAGTCTGCAGTGCATCTAGTTTAAGTGCATCTAAACCATATTCGCCCTATATATTCCTACCAGTAATTTTAATCACGGCAGCAGCCTATTAAATTCTATTGTGCACTACATGCATCAGACTTTTGTTTTCTTATCGCAGTGAAAATATCATTTTATGAATTGCTCTTAGAAAGTTACAGTAAAATCATTCTTGTGGTTGTGTCATACTGAAAGGTATGACTCCCTGTTGTTCTGCCTGCCCTCTTTCACCGAGGCTCAGGCCTCAAGCGCCAGCATGTCAGAAATCACACGTTAATGCCCCAAAGCGGCAAGGAGACGCGTCCCCCGCAAAGCCACAAAGACAAGTGCTCCTGGTCTACCTGTGATCTTCCCACGTCGCTCTTCTCACGCCCATGAGTTGGAAGAGAGACAATCACAGCGGTGCGCAAAACAAGAAGCCAATTGCTAATCTGCAATTAATAAGCAACATCCTCTGCGAATCTCTAAACATTGCAAAAGAAAATTGCAGACAGAGGATTTTTTGTGCATGTAAAACACATCACACGGTTCTGCTTAATTGATGTCAGATTTCAGTCAGTCAGGAATTCACAAGGCATTAATGGCAGGTGTATGCAAGCAAGAAAATGTGAACTGAACACCAGCCAGCCAAATATTGCCACTGTATGCATTACTAATCAAGCAGATGAATACACAATGCAGTAATCAGAAGATGTCAAGTGTTCAGGCATCGTTAGGGAATGACAATATACCAAAGTAACACTGATTAAAGGTTTATCTGTGCAAAAAAAAAAAAAAAAACAAACGCAAACGACGCAAAACAAACATGAAACTCAGCCGATAAGAGTAAGCCGTAATGCATATGCTTACTTACAGCTAAGGAACTTTCCCCCGAGATCACCACAGACTGTTCCTGTACTGAATGATATATAATGAAGTAGGCTGGCAGTCATAACTAAACTGCTATCTGATGATTAGGCGGTCATAGTGCAGCCATATCATTCCTTACTATCTGTCAAAAGGAACTTAAATCACACCTATATTTAACCTAAAGTGTTCTCTTTAAGAAGGGGACATTTTTTACACAGAAACACCACAACGGTTGAGAACAGAATCCCTCTGCCGTTATTTAAATTAAGAACCTCTTTATCCTTGTGAGAAACTGCTCTGTTAAGCCAACAGCTACGCTAGACTGCCACCACCAGTCTGTGATTAAAATTGAGATATTTTTGAGATACACGGCAATCTCTGAAAACAGAAGACATCAGAAAACGATATCCATTTAAAAACTCCTGCACAAGACTGTAACCAACAGCCCTCAGTGTCGGGTACACATGCACGGAACCTAAGGGTTTAAACCTCAAACACATTACCATGCCACCTCAAGCAGAGGTTGTTGTCAGAACATGACAGCATATGGGTAGGTGTTACATAATGTCTGTGCTCATCGTTAAAAACCCCTTGAAGCTACATATGGATGGTGCAGCCCAGGGCGGGTCAAATTTCCATCAAATCAAAATGAGTCTCCAGTTTCCTATTCCTGATGCAGAAAGTCTGATTGATTTTATAATGGTATTGGTGCTATTTTTAATAGCAAAGACTTCACACATGGCAGAATGCATACGTTAAACAGTATGTTTATTTCTTTCTTTAATGATGGGGGGAGGCTAAAAGAAAAAAAGAAAACCCTTTTCAGCCCTTATTGTATGTTCTGTGCCTCCCTCAGTCTGCCCCCCCCCCAGAAATCAGCAGCAGTCACAATTCATTGCCTCTCCCACCCCCAAAATGGCACATTACCTAATGTTTATTACTGTCCTCATCACTATATTCCTCGATAATATTACTGTAGAATGTTTACCAGTTCAAGGTTCGTTCACACACATGGCTCCCACACCCACTCATCACACTCGTTCCACAACCAACGATGATGCAACTTGCTGTACCCTGAGTGCCGGCTCGTCTGCCCATCTGTCCATCCGTGCATCCATCCATCCATCCATCCATCCAGTCATGCTGCAGATCCATAGTAGTTATGCAGTATCCTCCTTATGAGACTCTGGCAGTGATCCTGGTGAGCAGGCGTCCCACGTGGTCAGCTGAGCCTGACAGGGTCTACCTGCTGCCTTGCCCCACCTCATGCCCTGAGGCCCCATCCATCAGCTGAGGGTGTGTGTTGGGGGGGGGGGGGACTGGATTCATATGTAGAAGATCGAGGCCTTTTGGTTCCCTTCAGCAGGTCTGGTCTGGTCCCCTCAACCCTAGTGTCAGTACAGTTAGTGTTCACATCCAAACCCCCCACCCCCCAAAACAAGCACCCTCTAGGGGTGAGGAAGGTTCATGCGGTCCTCGATCAGGGTGTTGTCCGCACCCTGGGCCTCCATGCACTGCCGGATGGTGGCCAGCACCCCCAGGAGCCTCCGGTCCAGGGCCGCCAGGTGTGAATCTGTCAGCACTGGGGCCACGGGGTCGTGCGCCATGGCCTGCCTCAAGGTGGCGCTCAGGCCACGGCTCCGCAGCAGGTTCAGGCGGTTCCAGGTGGACACGCGGATCCTGGGGGCAGGGGTGGGGGCAAAAGATAAATCCTAAGGAAGAGTTTCCCCAAATCACCAAAAGACACATAGAAGTGTACTGCAGATTTATAATTAAACTGGAAAACAAGACAGTAAACAAGCACGTGGAGGCGGAACACGGGCACTCAGACGAAGCTTTATGTAAAACAACTGAGCAAGCTGCCATTCCTGCAGTGAGAATGCACCTCTTTTCCTTTTTTTTTTTTCTTCATTCCCCACACCACTCACCCTCTACAGCCACTCTGCACACCCCCCACTCCATTACCCTACCATTATACCAAAGGTTGTCGCTAACGACTATTTTGTCAATTGGTCAATGAATATAAATGATTAAAGTTTCCTCCAGAAAATCAATTTTAACATTTAAACTTTAACATTTCATTTAATTTTGACAAACTGTATGTCATTGCAGGGCTTTAGATAATGTACGCTGTCTTTTTGGCACTATACATATCAACATTATTTTCACCCATATGCCTAAGAATATTAATGAGATGCGTATTGTGATGCCCAAAAGTTAGTAATCTGTATAGATTTGGCATATGCTCATGCTTAATAAATTTGGTTAGCGGAGCCACATGCGACGTGACACAAGCAATAAGCACTGAAATCATGATGAAGGAAGGGACAGACCAGCAGCCACAACATCTTTTAATAGAGGAGATACTGTGGTTAAACAAGGTAAAACGATGTTGATGGTGTGGCGGTACTTTTTGCAGATAAAAATTTTTCTTTGTAAATATGGTTTTCGTTTTTTTTATCTTGATTCACGAATTATAATTTTTAATTTAGTGTCCGTTTTTGTTTCAGTTTTAGTTTACGATAACAACACTTGTCCCAACAAGTCCAATGCGCAGGAACACACACTGGCACTGTCAATCAACATAGAATAAGATCATATTTTAGCCTAAACATTTTCACAAACACTTATTCAGTTGAGATTCTAATGCAGCAGGCAGACAGCTTTACGGCTTTAATAATGAGGGCATTTAGCAGCTACAAGGACAAAAGATATTAAAAGCTCTCTGTACTAATGGTAATTTAATAAACATGAATAGACATCATTCTAATACCTAGACCTAAAATATGAAACAGATCGACATTAAAAGAGCAAGATTACGACCAAACAGATGGACAGATTGACACGACCAATCATGGGAAGGAAAAAAAAAAAAGATTGCAGCGAAAACTTGTAATGTGTTTTTCCATTTCTATGTTTCAATATATGTGAAGGAATCAAAGAGGTAAATTATCAGATGAGTCTAATGAAGTGATAAAGGAGCCCCAAACTTTTTCAGGTTTGGTGCTGGAGAGTAATTTGTTTAATTTATATGTATTCTTGGAGAAGGTTTTGCCATTGCATAATGCTTAACATATACTGTACCAGGTTTTCCAGTTAAGCAAGATAGTCATCTTGCCAATAGTTAAAGCAATGACTTATGGGTTTTGAATTCTGGACTGGTGGGATAATTACTGAAGGATCTGCAAGTAAGCAGAGGGATGGACATAGTGGAATACTACAGTTCAGTATAAGAGAAATTCTGTTATTAACTTCTAGCCAGAAATGTTGAATAGGAGGGCAGAACCAGATAATATGATAATAGTCATCTTGGGTGTTAGACGTGTGTAGTGTACGCATGTGTCAGACTCTAAGACCTTCTTATACATCCTGTGCTGGGTGATGCGAGTTCTGTGAATCACCATGTACTGTGTTAGTTGTAAATCAGTGTTGTTAGTCATTGTAAAGTTGTTCACAATGTTGGTTGTAAGACTATTTCCCATGCTTTGACTGGGATGGAAATTATTCTACAGATCTACAGATGATATTAGCATGTATAATTAGGAAAGGATCTTATTTTGGTCAGATATTTTATTGATGTCTTCTACTAATGGGGGAGGAAGTAGACTGTTATTTGACATTTGACAATTTGGTATTATGGTATTATTATGGTACTGTATTTAGTAACTTAGTGGGCTGGGTTGGAATCATTGTGAAAAGGTAATTGATTTTGGCAATGTATTCATTTTTATAATTGCAATGCAAATTGCATTTAAGTCATCTTCTATTGTTCTTAATATAGGAGTAAAATTGATGTGAAATAACTCTGACAGTCTGGAGGAAATATTTATACCCAGGTACTTAATGTGACCAGTGGGAATGGGGAGAGGTTTGTTTTGAGCTGCATTATTCCAGTATCAACAAAATCAGAACTGTTGATTTTGCCCAGTTTATGGCATAGTCAGAAATTTCAGAGAATGAATTAATGAGTTTGTTGACTTCTTTTAAGGATAGTGCTGGATCTCATAGATAAAGCAAGACATCATCCGCATAAAAACTAATCTTGTTTTGGTTATTGAGGATTTGAATTCCCTTGATATTTTTCTGAAGTATAGCAGCAACGAGAGGTTTGACAAACAGAACAAAGAATGATGGAGAGAGTGGGCATCCTTGCCTAGTCCCCCTGGGCAGTGTGAAACTGATGTTAGAATGTGAGAATGCACCTCTAACGCCAATGGATGCCTTAAAATCGGTGAATCGCCCTATGCACTGCCAGGCTGTAACCCTGCCCGTCTCATCACAGTACATGTATGTGCATGAAACACAGAGTGTCGAGGCCAGTGGCGCCCCCTGTGGAACAAACGATGAGACCTCTCTGCGGCCATAATGTGTAGGGGTTTCTGGCACAGACTCACATGCAACATTGGTACAAGGGTGCCAGAATGCTCCGCTCATCCAGGGTGGGGTTCCCAAAACTGCAAGTAGGAGAAAAGGCAGTTGAGGCATTCATCCAAAGCACGAGTGTATTAGTGTGCGACTCGGGACACCAGCAATCGCGGAGCCGTAAAGGGAGCAGGGGGAGGAGCACAGGACGTGGGTGAGGTCACTCCCCCGGCCAAGGACGTACCTCTTGGCATTGTCCAGCAGGATGAGCATGCTGGCACCGCCGTCGTCCTGGAAACTCTCGTAATGATGCCGATCAGCGTTCCCGATCAGGTAGTCGAAGACGGAGGTATCGATAACATCGAGCAGCCGCGGACCCGCATCATAGGGGGGCATCTTCTTCACAGCCTCGCAGTAGCTCTCATCATACTCCCACCTAGATGGGGAGAGAGGGGGGTTAGGGGGTCGGGGCCGAGGAAGTCATGCTGACTAGCGAGACACCACAAGGTGATCACCTGGCCAGCTTTCCCTCGCGGTAGGTGCGGCCCCAGGGGTGTCGGTGCTTCTGCAGGGGCCACACGTCCGGCAGCCAGAGCGTGACGGATCCCTCCATGATGTCACCCACGGCACAGGCTGGCTCACTCTCCCGGCAGTAGTAGCACTTCCCGTAGAAGCAGGTGTTGTTTCCTGAAACGGGGGCATCAGGATTGATGTCTCCTCCACCAGAGCAGTCGGCGGTGTGCATGAGAAATGAACCCCCGTAATGATTTACTAACTTTATATCTTGTTATTCCTGGGGACATTTTTCCCCACCCACAAACAAACAAGGATGATATATTTAAACTGATACAACTGCCGAGGCGACTATATCATCCAGAAAGGGTCATTGTGGTGGCTTTTGCTGCAATTCCTTAAATATATTACTAATCAGAGGACTGATTGGCTGAGGAGTCCTCACACATGGGTTTGAGCAGCTGACCTAAAGGTTACCCCAAAAACCTGCATACACACCGGCCCTTTGCGGGTAAGGCTTGCCACCCCTGCCTTAACTCCAGCAGCTTCCGAACACTGTATGAAGTACAAGGGGAAACTCTGAAAACTGGACAGAACCGGCTTATTTTTTAATTGGAAAAGGCAGCCATGTTGGACAAACATTTTTTTAAAATAGCATTCCCAAAATTACCACAGCACAACATTGTTTGCATAGTGCTTATTTTAAAATATCATAATTAAATCGTAAATTAAATCATATTTCTTTTCCTTTTACATATTGTCTACATTTACTTATTTGTTTGTTTTATTTATTCTAACTCCATTGTCCAATTGCACTGACTCCTTCTGTGACACTACAGATAGAAATTTCCCCTCACGGAGATCAATAAAGTCTTTTTCTTAGTATGTGCTGTAATTCTCATACGTACTTGGTAAACATCTTAGAAACTGAGTCCTCCTGAATGAAGCAGGAATTCTCATGAAAGGGGTGTGAGTTTAAGCACTTAAAACTAATTCAGACTAGAAAGTTCACAACACAAACAAATGTGGACAAAGGCAGCACGCACTCTGCCACCCACAGTAACCGACTCCATTCGTTTCAGTTGCCTCATCAGCCTCCACACCTAAACGCGCCTTTTTTCCTGTTTGCCAGGAGATTGAAGGCAATGCTGCTTGACACACCTCTCAGGCTCAGTAAAAAGAAATCAACTGAAACGACGGCTTATTTATATTCTTTTTGGAAATCATGCACTGGTCTGCTTTGTCACACACACACACACACACACACACACAGAGGATGGGCTCTGAGCATAGGATCTCCCACTAAAACCCAACAGCGCTGTCCCTGTTCTTCCAACCACGGGCTTCAAACTGGTGACCTTCTGATCACAGGCACAGAGGCCTAACCCACTGAGCCACACACTGCCCCCCTGACTGCTTAATAATTCAAGACCCCCCCCTTCCGTTACAACACAGTACTGAAGCGCAGGCCTTCCCCTACATGCATCACCACTCCATGACAAGCCACGTGTGGAAAAAACCTCTACATCAATTCAACTCTGGCCAGCAATAATAAAAAAAAAACACCCAGCACCCAATCACACCCAACCCACAGGGGAAAAATGAAAAAACACACACATGGACACAATGGCCAGCGCCACCCGAGAAGAAGGGTGATCAAACAATCGGAATATAAAACGGAAGATAGCGAAGTAGCTTGGTTGAATTAATACACAGTGCCAGTCGTTTACACATTTATCTATCACACTTTTGTCCAAAATGACATAGAACTGAGGATTAGAGAGCAGTTGGGCCTCATCGCTGGATTTGAACTGGCAATCTTCTGACCACAGGCTCAGCTCCCTAACCTACGGAGCGGCACCTCCCGATGAGACAAGAAGAAACGCTTCCATTTCTATATTTAATCACCTTGAACAGAAACAGGCTAAAGCTTCAGCCTTGTTTATTTAGATGTATAATCTGGCGCTAGAAACGTTAGACAGGGGAAAAAAACTAACCAAACCACAAGCACCTCAGCTGGATCTTCTCTGCGGAGACCTTTCCCGGAATCGAAAAACATACACATAAAAAAAAAAAAAAGGCGCTTAAAAACAGGCCACGTCCTGGCCAATGTGGGGCTTCATTTACAGCCATTCAGATATTTGTGAAGGACAGAAAAATTTGTTGATTAAAAAAAAAAAATGGTGTGAGAAGCGGGACCTCACAGATACGAATCAGCATGACAAACCACCGCGATCTTATCACGAACAGTGGTGCTGTGAAAAATCCCGCTGAGGCCTGTGAGAAAACAGGGGGGAGAGGGGAAAAAATAGGGGCTCACCCTGCATGAGGAAGGTGCTCAGCAGCTGGTCTGTGGCCACAGGTTTGATCTCTGTGCGCAGGTTCACAAACCTCCCCACCACTAGGGGAGCCCTACGGAAACCGAGGATTCTGAGAAAGCAAAAAGAGAGACAGAAGTAACTAAACAAAATACGAGACTTTTGGCATTTCGTTTTTTGATTGCATTCACAGATCTCTGTGGGCACCTGAAAAATGGCCCCCACAAACTCAAAATAACAGTCCCCACAATGTAATATAAACATAAGCAGCACACATACATACACAAGCTTCTGAAAGGCAGGTGGAAACCATTACCTGTCCAGGTGAAAGGCGGCCACCTCAGCGTTGTGCCTGTCGTAGCCGGCATAGGGCTCCCCCTCCACCACGTAGTCGCGACCATACCTGAGAGGCGGGGCGAGATAAAGAATTCCCTGTCCTGAGCCGCATCAGCCATAGTGACACCACCCGCCCTTCCGGTGCTGAATCCCCACCGGCCATAGAGAGAATGTATCACCTGACCTCTTGAGGAGCCACAAGGTAAGACACTACTTTACACATGCCACGGACATAAGCGGCAGGCTCCTCACAAAGGACAAGGGCCTCCAGGGACCAACCAAAAGGCCCTTTACTGGACAGACACCAGCAGCCCGCTGAGCGACATACGCAAAAGCTGTGGACCGGCATCTTCTGGGATTTAGAGGCGTCCTACCTTTTCGGCTTGAAGACCACCTTCTGTCCCCCTTCCAGCACCAGCAGCGCCTTCAGTTGAGTGCCCTTGTAGCCCACGTCGGCCCTCTCCACGCGGGCCGTCGCCATGGCGCTCAGCACCGCCGCCATCTCGGGGGTGTCGTCGGGGTAGACTTCGCGGGGCCCTACCCACTGGGCGGCCACCTCCCAGGGCGACTGCAGGGTGTGGGTGAGGCGCGCACCCCGGTCCAGTTGCAGCCCTGCCTCCATCTTGCGGAAGGCGCGCAGGTCGCGGCGGCCGGAGGCAGAGCCCTCACCGCCGTCCAGCAGGAAGACCTTGGCGAGGCCGAGCAGCAGGAGGACGCCGCAGAGCACGGCCACGCGCTGCTTCAGCTTCATGTCCAGCAGGGGGCGGCCGCAGGCACGCGTTCGGCCTTCAGCCCAGCACCATGGTTCCGCCCTTCCAGAATCAGCTGTTACCGT